TCACATCTCACTGCTTTCCCTCCTTTTTCCAAGAAATCACAGATTGGTAAAACAATGAACTTTCCCCAGGGGATGGAGACGTAAATGCATCTCATTTGAAGATTAAGAGTAACTTTAATTGCATTTCTTCCAGAAACAATAAAGCCCCCAAGGCAAAGGTGCTGACTCAAAGCTGTAAGCCCAAACCCAGGCTGCTCGCAGTGCAGCCGTATGAACTGTTACGAGGGTGCTCAGCCCCGCGCTGCTCCCCGCAGAAGGCACAAAATCCCTTCCATATTTCCCCGCACCAGCCGCAAGGGTCCCGGAAACGCCAAGGTCTGGGCGCGCGACCCCTGTGGAGGAGCCCGCAGCCAGTGCTGGCCCCCGGAGCCTCCGTGCGGATCCCAGATCCCAGGAAAGCTAATTGCCGCGGGGGGTAATCTCCCCCGCCATCTGCCCGGGAGGAAAGCTGCCTAAATTAGGCAGCAGGGAAGGCCGGGAAAGCTTAAGCGCTTTGCACCGTGCTACATGGAGTGGCCTTTCCTTTTTTTTTTTCTCCCCCCCATGACTTTCAGCTCCCGGCCCTGAAGGTTAACACGGCCCAGTTCTTCTCAAAGTGAAAACAAGCGCGTCACCGTTTGTGGTTGTTTTCCACCACTCGTCACTCCTGACATTGAGGGGACTCAAAAGCGGCACTTTACCCCATCCAGGCAAGCAGGAGTCACCCTGACAGCTGTCCTGTCCATGCTCTCCTAGGGCCGCTTCTGCTGCACATCACCCAGCGTCGCCTCCACCTGCTGCTCCCTGAGGCGCCCCATGGGAGAGGTTTGCTCTGGGTGAAGTAGTGTCCGTGCCACCCTTGCGTTCCCAGCCTCGGCCACCACCAAACGCCGCGGCAGCGGGACAAGGCTGCGGATTTTGCAGAGGGAGCAGTGTGTTCCTGACGCAATGAGCTGTCCTTGGCCAACGGGGGCTCTGCCACGCGCCAGCCCTGCCCAGGGTGCCACACACACCCTGCTCCACGGCATGGAGAATCCTTCACTTCCCCAACCAAACTGACCAAGGCTGCAGTGGGGACATCACAAAAGGTTTGGTATCACCTCGAGGTAAAAGTGAAAGGCCTCCAGGGCAAGACACTGCCGCCTTCCCCTCACCACACCAAGCACACCAAACCCAGGATCAGGTTCTACCAAGACAGCAATTCATCCCACAGAAATCACAGGCCTCCATCAGAGCATTAACTGCAGTTAAGTCAAAGGGCTTTTTGTTCTGCTGGATTGCATATGCGTTGCATGGAACGAGATTTACGCAATCATGTTCCTGATGTGCCTGCCCCCTCCTTCTCTACAGGACTTTTGCATCCTTTTGGCTAATTTCAGTCCAGTCCAACAGGAGATTAGGGCTTTAATATGTCTGAGATCTCCACAAGTTTTGTGAAAACAAATAGGCTGCTCTATAGGAAAAAAAAAGCCCTGTAAATTCACCTTGCATTGAGAAAATTCTACATAGGAGAAAGGCATCGGAAACTGGATTTCATTATTTCTGTTTGTCATGGTGTCTGTGTTCCCAAGATGGTGCAAGAACGTCTGCACACAAAACATAAAATAAAAATAAAATCTTTGAAGAGCCTGGCACAAGCACGTAAGTTTTCACATGTCCAAAACAGAGTTGCCTGAAGTTAAACATTTTAAATATTCTCTTCAGGTACTTAAGAGATAGAAATGATATCGACTTCAGTAGCCCAGCCTAGAAAATGAGACGCCAACATCATCCGAAAGAGCCTTTACTGCAAGAAACGTGTTAATCTGTGAGACCTGAAGAGTGAGATTTCACTTCATCATCCTCTCAAAAAAAAATAAAATAAAATAAACTTCAAACAACATTCTCAATTTAGATTTAAAAAAATCTCCGAACTAAGAGGAAAGCTAAGATTTGGGGCTAAGCCATCTGTGACTTGATGTCGCGCGCTGCAAACAGACTTATAGCACGACGCGAGCACAGAAGAGCCAGGGATGGAAAACAGCTTGTCCGTCAGAACCAGACATTAAAACTGCCCCAGGTGAGGGTTAGAACAGCCCTATATGACTTTGCTGATTCTCACGTGAGGAAAGTAACTGTCACCCTATTTCATTAAATATTGCAAAACGTTTGGACAAGCAGAGCCGGCTGTAGCTTTCCCTTACGGTAATAGTTTCCTTTGAAATAGAGGTTTTTGTTTTTTCCCAGCAAACTGAACGGAAAGACAGCAACTTGTCTACGCAGTCCGGACTAGCTGCCGCACGCTGGCGAGCCTTGGACGCCTTCACCAACGCGGACAAATCCCGACTTGCCCCGGCACTTCATTCAAGCGGCCTCAGCATTCTGCCTCCATTCAACCTCGTGCAGATCTCTTCTGTTCAGACAGGCCCTACAGGTCTCTCCCACCTCCATCCCCAGCTCTGCTCCAAGCCTCAGTGCTGCGCGTGGACCTCAGGCTCTCGGCAGCGCCGCGGGGAGCCGGAGCGGGACTTGCGCTCGCCTGCCCTTCCTCCTCCCCACGCGCACGCTGCAAAAACAACCCAGCGCGGAGAGGTGCCAGGGCCGGCTGCCCAGGAGGGGCCAAACTCACGGGAGGAAGAAAAAAGGAAGAGAAAAAATAAAACTAAACCGTGGCAGAAGCAGCGTCTCGGTTCCTTTCTCACCTTGGTAAAGGGATTCCTCCTTGCCTGCCCGCGTGCCCAATGTTTCTACGTTAATACCCCCGGCTGCTTTTGCATCCCTGCCATCACGTGCGCAGCTCCCTGCCCCTCTCTGCTCCCAGCTAACTGAGGGCCTTTCCCTCACGCCCTTTTAATTCCACCGCCGGCCGCGGGGCTCTGAAAAGCAGCATTGAAAGGAAGTGGCGCCCCGGCCCCGCTGCGTTCGGGAAGCATCAGCCTGCAGATCTGGGCTAACAAAGAGCTTTTCTGAGCTCTGTGGCAGCTGATCCTTTCAACGTTTCCATCTTGTACTCACAAGGGCTGGAAACTGTTCTTTTAAAAGTTGAAGAGTCTGGGGAAATCTAACACTGCTAGCCACCCACTTCATAAAGTTTCCTGCTGGCTAAAGGCTCAGCAGAAAGTAATTTCCATGTTCTGGGAATGGAAACCTTGCACTGTAAAACAGATTCTAAGAAGAGCTTAACTTATTAAAGCTGAACCTCATTCCATTCCCGTCTGCTCTTAAAACCGGTTCCTTGGTTGTTCCGCTCCTGCGTTCGCAGCAGACGGGAGGATCAGTTTTGCGGCTTCTCATATTTTCCAACCTTCTCTCCCCAGCCGGGGCGAGCGGGGGCTATTCGAGTTTCTGCCTCGCTCCTCCCGGCTCCCCGCGGCTGCTGGGGCGCAAAGCGAGGCGGAGCCCGACGCACCGCGCTGCTGCTGCTGCCGCAAACAGCCGAGCGCCGGGGAGCGGGCGCTGCGGGGAGCGGGCGCACGAGCACAGGCTGCCCTCAAGGCCACGCTTAAAAACACACTTACGCGGTTCCAACAGTGCCAAGGGACACTTTGCACTGAGACACCCGCACCGCCCCTTGCCTTCAGGACAGAAGAACGTCCATCTTCTCAACACTGAGGAGCTCCCCTAGCAAAATGAACTTTAAAAGGGTGGGATAATTTAAGGCGATATGCACAGAACAGAGCAAGAAGCGCTGATGCACGTGTATAGCCTACCACAGTCTGTGTCCACATTCATCCAGAGCAACTTTCAAGGGCAGCAGTGCTGCATCGCAGCTGCCTGTTCTCTGTTTTTATGGCCCAGCACGCACCAGACGATGCTGCCCATCTCAGTGCAGCTCTTCAAGCGATCTGCACAACTACCAGCTTGTGGCAGGAGCCATCACAACACTGAACTGCAAAGCGAAAGCGTCAGTGCAGCACCAAAAGGAGGCTTGCAAAGGAAACAGCATCACGTTTTCCTCCGCATCTCAGCACACATCAAGAAAAGGTGGATTCACAGGTTCTTCTGTAGCAGGAGAATGAAAGAAAAACTTAATGGCCAAGGAAATCCCCCAAAATAAGTAAAGCCCAAAGTTCTATTCCAATTCCCCCTGAAGGCTATGAATGGGTACAGAACTAGTCAGGTATATCATTGCAAACATGGCAATAGAAGAAAATGGATTAAATGGGAAGTTCAGGAGAATTTTATTTTGTTACTAAGCTTTCGGTTTTCTGAGTAAATTGCTGGTAGGAACTAAACTCAGAGAGACCAAAAAAAAAAAAAAAAAAAACCCAACTTCTAGAATCAGTTACTTTATAAATGAATTTCCCAGCGCTATTTCCAGCTTCTTCATAAAGCCAGGGTAAGTGATGAGCAAAGTATTTGAGTGTGTGACAGGCAAGGGGTTACAAGCTTTATAAATGTAACTCTTTTTAAATGTACAGTGCACTTTTTAGCTGATTAAGCAAAAACACTGCAAGCACCTGTAAGGATGCATTTCCATAAATAGGGGCGCTTCAAGGGATCTTGAACCCATTTCAAATATGTACTTGACCAGGAAGCCACAGCAGAGTATCTTACTGTACACGCACATGCAGTGAAAACAGCCTTTAACATTTATAAGTAAAATAACCTTATTCTTAAGGCACCAGGACAAACAGAACTGGTGCTACAGCTCAGTCTACAACTGTGAGAAAACATAGAGCTTCTCCTTGCAGGACATGGATTACCCCACGGAGACTCGTGGTGGTCCCCAGGTTGCCCATCTGACTGGAGCCTCTTCCAGGCTGAAATACTTCAGCAAAAATCTCCAGCAACACATAAAGCGACACAAGAAGCAGAACCCCCAAAGGGAGCCCGGGCAGGGTGGGAGATGGCTCCTCTGGGGAGCGAGACCCCAACCCTCACAGGGGACTCTCACTGCACTGAGCCCGGTGGCAGCAGCCCGAACGAGACGGGATGAGAGCATTAAAAAGTCACTCTTGCTGTTGTAAGGAAGCATCTTCCTACTCCCTGCCATCATCCACCCAAAACCATCCAAAAGACCAAGCAACCCTCCCAACCCGATGAAGCTGTCCCTGCTCGTGAGCGCCCAAGGCCTCGAGGGCATCGGAGCGGCGTCCTGCCCGCCCGGCGCCGCAGGTGCCTCCTTGCCCGCAGCACACGGGCAGCGCGGCCCTCGCGGCCTCCTGGCCAGGCCCTCGTCCCACAGAGGAGTTTCCCTTCTGCTTTAGATGGGGCAGGAACGGGAATTGGGCATGGGGGGTTTCACAGGTCTCACCAGGCGATTGCTACACCCCACAGGTGAGGAGGTCTCCCGCACCTAGGAAGGCCCTCAGGGAGGCCAGGACTTCTTTGCCGTTAGTGCAGTTGCTTTAAGGAGCTGCATTAGGAGCAGCTACTCAGACCCTGCTGCGGCAACAAGCGCTGCTGCAGGAGCAGCGCCTTGCAGCAAGATGGAAAGAAGAACCCCTATGTTTATGTCATGCATGTGGGAAGAAAAACAAGTGTATTGCTGCTGCAGTCTTATGTAAGGAAGGAAGAGTACTTTAGCTGTAAAAACGTTGCATCTGTGGCCAAGTCAGATGGGAGAGTTTCCTGTTAGGAAACAGGTGGGCAAAAAGCCTCACACCTACTTCCTTTAATCTATCCCGATAGTTATTTTTTTTTTAGACATTATTTTTGAGTCATCGCTGTGGCACAATGACATCCTCCCCTTTTAAAGCTACATATCCCTGCATACAACATGACACAGTAGCACAGCCTTTATGTGGTTCAGCTGCAGTGGGGCTGTCACCTTGCCGGAAACAATCCTGTCCTGCTGCAAACTTCATCCTTTCCCAACTGCTTTGCAACAGTACTGTGCACAACCAGCAAAAATAAATAACAAATAAATAAATAAAAGAGAAACACAAATGAAGAAAGTAAGACAGAAAGTTTCAACGGGGTGACAGGAGCGCAGTAGTCACAAAAAAAAAAAAAAGAAAAAAAAGAAAAAAAAATACAGATCAACTCCCGCTGGCTTTGCTAAGCTCTGGTTCAAGCTTTGCATCAGGAAAAATTCCTGTTCACGTCACCGGGCATTTTAACTCGTTAACGAACGAGGACGGCGGGTTTGCCCCGCCAGCTCTCAGCCCCGAAGCAGCAGCTCC